CTCCTCTCCTTCAAAGCCATATTTATAGGTATAACCTTATGTGTGAGAAAGTCCTTTACTGTATTTTTCAACATACAAGTAAATATATTGTCAACCTGGAACACAATATCAATACCCACAAAGTACAAGTGCATTTAAAGGGACAACAGGGAAGAATATTTGTAAGCATGAAATTCTGAAAAAAAAATCTTCAAACCATGGCTTCTGTCCATGTTCGTGCAAACATGGTAAATGTGATGAAAGAGTATAAAATCTCGTGAAATTATATCTGAGAAATAACTTTGCCACAGCTGAAATGTTGAATTGAAATAAAAAGAGGGGATGATGCAAGGTAAAGCAATTGGGTCAAAAAAAAATAAAAAAGAGAAATGTGATTGAAAGAGGTTATGATTGTTTTTGAAGTTGTTCACAGTTTCCAGAGCTTATGCTGATATATTTTAGATGTTTGATTAATTTGATAATAAACTGAATAATAAATGTAAATGTTTCTTCTTTAAAAGCAATAAGGGAAAAATAATAGCTTAAGTCAAATAAAGTATTAACTTTCTCTATGTTTATTCATAGATTGGAAAAAAATCTGGTGTTTTTTTTACACCCTCCCCCTCAATATGATTTCATGATTAGAATTTACAGGCATAAAATAAGCTAACAATCTTTCTTAAGCATCTGGGGGGGTGGGAGATTAGTTCTTTAAAGATGAAGGCAGGTAATTAAGTGGCTTTCATCGGGTCCCTAATGTGACAATTTCTAAAAGTAAGTTAAATATTTATTTATTGAATGATTTCACTATGGCCCTGGGGAAAAAAAAACATGTCCAGTGCCCAGACAATGCTTCTTCAGCAGGTGGTGTTAGACATCCTTGGTATCAGGGTTGAGAAACAGACCAAGAAAATGAGTTGAAGATTCTTAGTCCATAGTCTATTGTAACCTAGCTGCGAAACTTTTCTGAAGTTGTCCTGTCATGCGGACATGTTTTCTAAAATGATACCAGAAATGCTGAATCATTCCTCTCTTAGGGGAGCTTTTTAAACTTTACTACATTTAAAATTTCAACTATATTTTTTAAGTTTAAAAGAAATCCTTAAATTTGAAGTCTATGGGGTTTTTAAAATACATTTATATTTTTGTTTTTCAAGTTATCTTAGAATCATGACTTCTTCAAATACTATTTTGGCCTGGGGACAGACCGTGTTGATTTACGCACATCCCAGACATAAAACCAGCCAGGGCATAATTGGGCATGGGTGCCCCTCAGGTCACTGAAAAGCAAGCATTATCTGTGAACTCAAACCACGGTCAAGTATTCTAGTGAACATGCTGCTTTGTCCAGCTGCCCAAGTGTAATGAAAAGGAGACCATGGTGATGTCAGACGTCATCCTTTTTTCAGATCCTTAGTACTTTTCTTTGAAGTGTGTTCTTTTGGGAACACAATTACAGCAGTCGTGTAGGCACAGGGTAGAGGCCTGAGTGTCATCAGCCCAGGCCAAAAAGCAATCTGAACTGAGAAAAGACATGTCTAAAAAAAAAAAAGTAATAACTTCATCATCTTAATTTTGTACATCTCCAGGCAACACTGCTCACTCGCATTACTGTCAGGGCAGTACCTGGCCTGGGAAGGAAGGCGGCAGCATTGCTGGATGCTGACTCTCAAAAACAAAATGACCTATAAAGACTGAGCCAAATTGCTACAATGCAAACTACTAATGTCCAACTTGGACTTAATACAGTATTTTTCTATTGACATTCCCATTCCAATTATTTTGTAATGAATCATATTTGTTGCAAGAGCCTAGAAGCAAGCCAAAGATGCTCGGCTGGTGTGGCTCAGTGGTTGAATGTCAACCTATGATGAACCAGTAGGTCAAGGTTGGATTCCCAGTCAGAGTTCAATCCCCAGTAGGGGGTGTGCAGGAGTTAACCAACCAATGAGTCTCTCTCATCATTGATGCCTCTATCTCTCTCTCCTTCTCTCTTTTTCTCTCTGAAATCAATAAAAAATATATTTTTTAAAAAATAAAGAAGGCAAAGATGTATTTTATACTTAGCGTTCTAGATATACATTATTTGCTGTATATACCTGAAAATGAACAAAACTTCCTCTTGAAAAATCAGAGCACTCAGAAAGCATGTTTTTCAAAAAATGACTTCTATGTGCTATCATCATTGGAGTATTTTAGTTTGCACAATTATTTTGAATTTACTTTTAAACAGGAAATATTTTTGAGACTGATTTAACTAATTTAAAAATGCTCCTGCTCTGGCCAGTGTGGCTCAGTTGGTTGAGCATCATCCCCTGCACCAAAGGGCTGCTTACTCAATTCCCAAACAGGGCACATGCCCAGGTTGCGGGCTCAATGCCTGGTTGCATGTGGGAGGTAGCCAATCGCCATTTCTCTGTCACATTGATGTTTCTCTCTCTCCCTTCCTCTCTCTTTAAAATCATATATATTTTTTAAAAAGCTAAATAATACTCCCAACCAAAGTATATATTGTAGTAAAAGAATAAAAATAACAGGTCTCACTATCAAATGATCAAGTATAATTATTTTATTACCCTAATATATATTTGTTAATATATTTGTATTGATTTCAGAGGGGAAGGGAGAAGGAGAGAGATAGAAACACCCATGTTGAGAGAGAATCACTTATCGGCTGCCTCCTGCATGCCCCCTACTGGGGATCAAGCCCACAACCCGGGCATGTGCCCTGACTGGGAATTGAACAGTGACCTCCTGGTTCATTTGTCAACACTCAACCACTGAGCCACACTGGCTGGGCTACCCTAAAATATATTTTATATAGTTGTATAAGCCAGTCATTAGGAACCTAAAATTGAATTACATTTATGCTAAATGCAACTCAAAACACATATGTAAACAAGTATCATTTAGTAAAAATCCTCCTGATAAATTCTATTACCCTCCTGCTATAAAGAACAAAATATGCCTCAAATTTCTTACATAAACAAAAATAATTGGTGTTTGCATTATTCTCTGTTAAGAAACCAGTGTTATACTATTCCTACAAAACACTGTTTTGTCATTTTCCCCACTATTGCTGAAGAAAGCAATACAGATAGTTTCTTAACACTAGTCCCTTTCCATACCTCCTCATTTTCTTGGTCTTTCTCTGACACTAATCAATATTGACTAGTGAATGCTTGATAAAGATATCTTCTTCCAGTATACATTTATTCTTTCTTAAAATTCTTATTGCACATTCACTATGAGAGGCTTTGTGTTAAAGACTTTGGAGACAAAGTACATTAGGTCAGATTCCTTGCCTAAGAGCTCATGGTCCAGTAAAGGCAAAAAACAACTGCATTAAGGTTTACTCTACATGGTCAGTACAATGACACAGAAGAAAAAAAAACTGGAAGGGTTATTTAAATCGAGCAGGAAGGTCAGGTAACCGTTCTACTCCATTTCACTAAAATAAGTCTTCCTCCTTTATGAAGGACGTGATGGCCTAACACTGCCTGGTTTGCACTTCCTTGTCTTGGCAAAGCCATGATGATAGATGTAGACAACATCAAAATATCTCTGAGAATTACAATCATCATCCTGTTTCCTGACTTCACAAGGTTTAGTCTGACTGGGTTTAAACACATCAGCCCAAGACCCAATCTAAACTGGAAAATACTAGTAAGTCCAGCTGTTTTTAGAACAGACATGTCCATGGTCAGAGAAACATGAACGAGAAATTTACAGCCTGGTACACAAAAATCTGATTTCCAGGTAGAATTTTTACCATATATTAATTTTGGGGACATTTAGGCATCAGAGTAAAAATAAGAGGTACCTGAAAGTATAAATGCTTACCATATTATGTCCTCAAATAGAAGGCAAATTGATTAGTTATGCCATAAATGTTTTAAACTGTAACAACACAAAATAATATGCCCCCGCCCCCCCACAAAAAACTGAGTGTGTTGTAAGAAACGCATTTTTTATATCATATACAAAATCAGAATTAACATTTCAAATGCCAATGTGCACCTAAAAATAAAGACTTGCCAAGCATTGTGTACATTTAAATGTATTTACCAGCTACTTGCTACCCATAGTGTCTCAGAAATGGGATGAAACAGGCTGAGTTCCTTCAACAATATGTATATTCCTATGAGTGTTGTTGATAGGAAATCAAAGCATATGTATTCTTTTCTTCCAATCCATTAGCCAGTCTCTAAAAGAAGCCAAATTCCAAAAGACTAAAGAGGACAAGTGTCCATTTGTGACAGTCTCGCTTTATAAATACAGTCATTTCAAACACAAGAGCCTCCTGTGAAGTGCAGGTCTACCCACGTATCTGATCTATACCATTCTTCAGACCATTTGTGCGGGAGTTAAACTGTCCCTGGTCAGAGTGACCTCATAAGACCTGTGCATGGCCCAGCCGGCCTCACTCAGGGGAAAGCAGGGCAGTGGGACCATCCAGCAGAGTTGTTTTTCTCCCTCAGCCAGATGACAGGAATACGTACAGCCCAGGAGAAGGAAGACTGTCAAATGGGATTGGCAGGGACTTCTCCTAACAGTTCCCTCTCTCATCAAGAAGTGATTACCTTCTGCAGAAGGCGGAGGTACCCTAGATTCTACCTCCTGAAATTGTGGGTCCTGGTCACAAACCTACTTATCGCCTTTATGGATTATGGGATTGTCGCTGAAACCTGGGTTTGCAGTAGCAGCAGTTTTGTGAAGTTGGGTGTATACGTTCCTACCCAGTGGAATGTCGCCTCCGAGTGCTGCGACTCCAAGGCTCATGAATCTCCCACCCCCACAGCCACTACCTCCCAAATTCCAGCTTATGCATTCATTTCCTGGGCAATTTTTCTCTTGTGAGGAAAACAATGGACCCTTTCAATTTCTCTTATCAACAAAGGGCTCTAAGATGAAGAAACAATCCTTTCAATAGCATCCTTTCCGACTTCGTGATAAATGAGTGGGGATGAGGTTGGGGATGGGGGGGGGGGGCAGGAAGGAAGGGGTGACAGGCGACTCACCTCTTTCAGCTGCTCCAGCTCCTGCTTGAGGCTGTCGTACTCAGCCTCCAGCTCGTCATACTGCTGCTTAAGGGTCAGCTTCTCCTCCAGGACCACCAGCCCGTACTCAGCAGCCTGGATCTTCTCGTGGGTCGTCTCCGTGAGCTCCTTGGTCAGCCTCTCTATCTCAGTCTTATAATGGTCCACCGTCTGCAACACCTCTTCTGCGGCCATAGCCCCGGTGCGCGCAGTCGGGAGGGGGTCACAGGGCGGGGGAGCTGGATGCCAGGCAGGCGGAGCAAGGGAGAAGGAAATGGGGAGGGAAGGGGCTAAAAAATGGAAAAGAAAAGTGTGGCTGGATGAACGAGCAGAGCAGGGTCCTGTCTGCTCCTCTGGCAGCAGCAGTAGCTACACCGCCCGAGACCCTGCCGTGCAGCGCAACATGGAGAATGCAGCGGCGAGGACAGGGGCGAGGCGGC